ACAGAGTGATACAGACATGGAGATACAGAAGGATGAGGAGATAATCATTGTGACAGAGTGATACAGACATGGAGATACAGAACGATGAGCAGAATATCATTGTGACAGAGTGATACAGACATGGAGATACAGAACGATGAGGAGATTATCATTGTGACAGAGGGATACCGACATGGAGATACAGAACGATGAGGAGAATATCATTGTGACAGAGGGATACAGACATGGAGATACAGAAGGATGAGGAGAATATCATTGTGACAGAGTGATACAGACATGGAGATACAGAAGGATGAGGAGAATATCATTGTGACAGAGTGATACAGACATGGAGATACAGAACGATGAGGAGAATATCATTGTGACAGAGTGATACAGACATGGAGATACAGAAGGATGAGGAGAATATCATGGAGACAGAACGATGATACAGACATGGAGATACAGAACGATGAGGAGAATATCATTGTGACAGAGTGATACAGACATGGAGATACAGAACGATGAGGAGAATCATTGATGACAGAGTGATACAGACATGGAGATACAGAACGATGAGGAGAATATCATTGACAGAGTGATACAGACATGGAAATACAGAACGATGAATATCATTTGGAGAATATCAGACATGGAGACAGAACGATGAGGAGACATTGGAGATACAGACAGAACGATGAGGAGAATATCATTGTGACAGAGTGATACAGACATGGAGATACAGAACGATGAGGAGAATATCATTGTGACAGAGTGATACAGACATGGAGATACAGAAGGATGAGGAGAATATCATTGTGACAGAGTGATACAGACAGGAGATACAGAACGATGAGGGAGAATATCATTGTGACAGAGTGATACAGACATGGAGATACAGAAGGATGAGGAGAATATCATTGACAGAGTGATACAGACATGGAGATACAGAACGATGAGAAGAATATCATTGTGACAGAGTGATACAGACATGGAGATACAGAAGGTTGAGGAGAATATCATTGACAGAGTGATGAGATGAGATACAGAACGATGAGGAGAATATCATTGTGACAGAGTGATACAGACATGGAGATACAGAAGGATGAGGAGAATATTGACAGAAGGTTGATGGAGACAGAGTGATACAGACATGGAGATACAGAACGATGAGGAGAAAATCATTGTGACAGAGTGATACAGACATGGAGATACAGAACGATGAGGAGAATATCATTGTGACAGAGGATACCGACATGGAGATACAGAACGATGAGGAGAATATCATTGACAGAGGGATACAGACATGGAGATACAGAAGGATGAGGAGAATATCATTGTGACAGAGTGATACAGACATGGAGATACAGAAGGATGATGAAGAATATCATTGACAGAGTGATACAGACATGGAGATACAGAACGATGAGGAGATTATCATTGTGACAGAGTGATACAGACATGGAGATACAGAACGATGAGGAGAATATCATTGTAACAGAGGATACAGACATGGAGATACAGAAGGTTGAGGAGAATATCACAGACAGAGAGATACAGATAGGATAGATACAGAACGATGAGGAGAATATCATTGTGACAGAGAAAGTGATACAGACATGGGAGATACAGAACGATGAGGAGATTATCATTGTGACAGAGTGATACAGACATGGAGATACAAAGGATGAGGAGAATATCATTGTGACAGAGTGATACAGACATGGAGATACAGAACGATGAGGAGAATATCATTGTGACAGAGAAGTGATACAGACATGGATATACAGAACGATGAGGAGAATATCATTGTGACAGAGTGATACGACATGGAGAGAATACAGAAGGATGAGGAGAATAAGGATGATTGTGACAGAGTGATACAGACATGGAGATACAGAATGATGAGGAGAATATCATTGGACAGAGTGATACAGACATGGAGATACAGAACGATGAGGGAGAATACAGACAGACAGAGTGATACAGACATGGAGATACAGAACGATGAGGGGAGAATATCATTGTGACAGAGGATACAGACATGGAGATAGAAGGTTGAGGAGAATATCAGAAGGACAGAGTGATACAGATAGGAGATACAGAACGATGAGGAGAATATCATTGACAGAGTGATACAGACATGGAGATACAGAAGGATGAGGGAGAATATCATTGTGACAGAGTGATACAGACATGAGATACAGAACGATGAGGAGAATATCATTGACAGAGTGATTACAGACATGGAGATACAGAACGATGAGGAGAATATCATTGTGACAGAGGGATACGGACATGGAGATACAGAACGATGAGGAGAATATCATTGTGACAGAATGATACAGACATGGAGATACAGAAGGATGAGGAGAAATATCATTGGGACAGAGTGATACAGACATGGAGATACAGAACGATGAGGAGAATATCATTGGACAGAGTGATACAGACATGGAGATACAGAACGATGAGGAGAATATCATTGTGACAGAGTGATACAGACATGGAGATACAGAACGATGAGGAGAATATCATTGTGACAGAGTGATACAGACATGGAGATACAGAACGATGAGGAGAATATCAATGTGACAGAGTGATACAGACATGGAGATACAGAACGATGAGGAGAATATCATTGACAGACAGAGATACAGACATGGAGATACAGAACGATGAGGAGAATATCATTGTGACAGAGTGATACAGACATGAGATACAGAAGGTTGAGGAGAATATCATTGTGACAGAGTGATACAGACATGAGATACAGAACGATGAGGAGAATATCATTGTGACAGAGTGATGAGATACAGAAGGAGATAATCATTGTGACAGAGTGATACAGACATGGAGATACAGAACGATGAGCAGAATATCATTGTGACAGAGGATACAGACATGGAGATACAGAACGATGAGAGAATATCATTGTGACAGAGGGATACCGACATGGAGATACAGAACGATGAGGAGAATATCATTGTGACAGAGGGATACAGACATGGAGATACAGAAGGATGAGGAGAGAATATCATTGTGACAGAGGATACAGACATGGATACAGACAGATGATGGGGAGATACAGAAGGATGAGGAGAATATCATTGTGACAGACAGAGGAGATACAGACATGGAGATATCATTGAAGAGTGATACGATGGAGATACAGAAGATGAGGGAGAATATCATTGTGACAGAGTGATACAGACATGGAGATACAGAAGATGAGGAGAATATCATTGTGACAGAGGACAGAGTGATACAGAACATGGAGATACAGAACGATGGAGGAGAATATCATTGTGACAGAGTGATACAGACATGAGATACAGAACGATGAGGAGAATATCATTGTGACAGAGTGATACAGACATGGAGATACAGAACGATGAGGAGAATATCATTGTGACAGAGTGATACAGACATGGAGATACAGAACGATGAGGAGAATATCATTGACAGAGGGATACAGACATGGAGATACAGAACGATGAGGAGAATATCATTGTGACAGAGTGATACAGACATGGAGATACAGAACGATGAGGAGAATATCATTGTGACAGAGTGATACAGACATGGAGATGAGGAGAATATCAGACAGGTTGACATGGAGATACAGAACGAATATCATTGTGACAGAGTGATACAGATAGAGGAGATACAGAACGATGAGGAACGATGAGGAGAATATCATTGACAGAGGGACAGACATGGAGATACAGACATGGAGATACAGAAGGATGAGGAGAATATCATTGTGACAGAGTGATACAGACATGGAGATACAGAACGATGAGAAGAATATCATTGGACAGAGGATACAGATATGATACAGAACGATGGGAGAATATCATTGTGACAGAGTGATACAGACATGGAGATGAGGATGAGAGAATATCATTGTGACAGAGTGATACAGATAGGAGATACAGAACGATGAGGAGAATATCATTGACAGAGTGATACAGACATGGAGATACAGAACGATGAGGAGAATATCATTGTGACAGAGTGACAGAGTACAGACATGGAGATACAGAACGATGAGGAGAAAATCATTGTGACAGAGTGATACAGACATGGAGATACAGAACGATGAGGAGAACATCATTGTGACAGAGGGATACAGAACGATGAGGAGAATATCATTGGACAGATACAGAACGATGAGGAGAATATCATTGTGACAGAGGGATACAGACATGAGATACAGAAGGATGAGGAGAATATCATTGTGACAGACAGACATGGGAAATGGACATGGAGATACAGAAGGATGAGAAGAATATCATTGTGACAAGAGGGAGAATATCATTGACAGAGTGATACAGACATGGAGATACAGAACGTTGAGGAGAATATCAGAACGATGAGGAACGATTATCATTGTGACAGAGTGATACAGACATGGAGATACAGAACGATGAGGAGAATATCATTGTAACAGAGTGATACAGATAGGAGATACAGAACGATGAGAGATACAGAAGGATGAGGGGAGAAGGATGAGGAGATCATTGTGACAGAGGATACAGATAGAGATACAGAACGATGAGGAGAATATCATTGTGACAGAGTGATACAGACATGGAGATACAGAACGATGAGGAGATTATCATTGACAGAGAGATATACCGACGATGAGGAGAATATCATTGACAGAGTGGATACAGACATGGAGATACAGAAGATGAGGAGAATATCATTGACAGAGACATGGATACAGACATGGAGATACAGAACGATGAGGAGAATATCACAGACAGAGTGATACACATGATGGATACAGAACGATGAGGAGAATATCATTGTGACAGAGGATACAGACATGGAGATACAGAAGGATGAGGAGAATATCATTGACAGAATGGATACAGACATGGAGATACAGAATGATGAGGAGAATATCATTGTGACAGAGTGATACAGACATGGAGATACAGAACGATGAGGAGAAATATCATTGTGACAGAGTGATACAGACATGGAGATACAGAACGATGAGGAGAATATCATTGTGACAGAGTGATACAGACATGGAGATACAGAAGGATGAGGAGAATATCATTGTGACAGAGTGATACAGATGGAGATACAGAACGATGAGAGAATATCATTGGACAGAGTGATACAGACATGGAGATACAGAAGGATGAGAGAGAGAAGAGTGATACATGGGAGATAAAAGGATGACAGTGACAGAGGATACAGACATGGAGATACAGAAGGATGAGGAGAATATCATTGTGACAGAGTGATACAGACATGGAGATACAGAACGATGAGGAGAATATCATTGACAGAGTGATACAGACATGGAGATACAGAACGATGAGGGAGAATATCAGAGAGGATACAGACATGGAGATACAGAACGATGAGGAGAATATCATTGTGACAGAGGGATACAGACATGGAGATACAGAACGATGAGAGAATATCATTGACAGAAATATACAGACATGAGATACAGAGATAGATACAGACATGGAGATACAGAACGATGAGGAGAATATCATTGTAACAGAGATGAGGAGAACGATGAGGAGAATATCATTGTGACAGAGTGATACAGACATGGAGATACAGAATGATGAGGAGAATATCATTGTGACAGAGTGATACAGACATGGAGATACAGATGAGGAGAATATCATTGTGACAGAGTGATACAGACAGGAACAGATGAGGAGAATATCATTGACAGAGTGATACAGACATGGAGATACAGAACGATGAGGAGAATATCATTGTGACAGAGTGATACAGACATGGAGATACAGAAGGTTGAGGAGAATATCATTGTGACAGAGTGATACAGATAGGAGATACAGAACGATGAGGAGAATATCATTGTGACAGAGTGATACAGACATGGAGATACAGAACGATGAGGAGATTATCATCATTGTACAGACATGGGAGATACAGAACGATGAGGAGAATATCATTGACAGAGTGATACAGACATGGAGATACAGAACGATGAGGAGAATATCATTGTGACAGAGTGATACAGACATGGAGATACAGAACGATGAGGAGAATATCATTGTGACAGAGTGATACAGACATGGAGATACAGAAGGATGAGGAGAATATCATTGTGACAGAGTGATACAGACATGGAGATACAGAACGATGAGGAGAATATCATTGTGACAGAGGATACAGAACATGGAGATACAGAACGATGGAGGAGAAGAATATCATTGTGACAGAGGGATACAGACATGGAGATACAGAAGGATGAGGAGAATATCATTGTGACAGAGTGATACAGACATGGAGATACAGAACGATGAGGAGAATATCATTGTGACAGAATAATACAGACATGGAGATACAGAACGATGAGGAGATTATCATTGTGACAGAGTGATACAGACATGGAGATACAGAACGATGAGGAGAATATCATTGACAGAGTGATACAGACATGAGGAGATACAGAAGGGATGAGGAGAATATCATTGTGACAGAGTGATACAGACATGGAGATACAGAACGATGAGGAGAATATCATTGTGACAGAGTGATACAGACATGGAGATACAGAAGGATGAGGAGAATATCATTGTGACAGAGGGATACGGAGATACAGAACGATGAGGAGAATATCATTGTGACAGAGTGATACAGACATGGAGATACAGAAGGATGAGGAGAATAACTTTGTGACAGAGTGATACAGACATGGAGATACAGAACGATGAGGAGAATATCATTGTGACAGAGTGATACAGACATGGAGATACAGAACGATGAGGAGAATATCATTGTGACAGAGTGATACAGACATGGAGATACAGAACGATGAGGAGATTATCATTGTGACAGAGTGATACAGACATGGAGATACAAAAGGATGAGGAGAATATCATTGTGACAGAGTGATACAGAAAAATGCGGGGAATATCATTGAGAAATGGCTATAAAGAAGTATGTGAATATCCTCATCGATGGAAAATCTCAGCAACAACCATGTTTTATGGAAAATGGAAGCAAAAATAATAAGTACACTTATAATCAGAAAGAGACAGCAGAAATTCATGGAACTCACAATGAGGAATCAGGCTTCGAAGAATGGATGGTAAGAATGTAAACAGCTTAGAGCTAAAAACCACTGTAAAGTATAGAGTGTCATAATGAGGAAAGACTGTTTAGAAAATTTAACACTTCTAGGACATATTAAAGGTAGGGATGAAAACAGGGTGTAACCTACTTAACGATCTTGTCTAAATGGATGGCAGAACGGTGTTTGTGAGTTGATAGCTAAAAGAAAAACTTAACTAAGAACTACAAAGGATAGGTAGTTGTGGAGAGCCATGATCCCCCAATGTACTGAACGGACACGGCACAGAGAAAAAGACGACTTTCAATGGAAATCAAGTGACAGTAGTTTTTCTCCCTCGTCAAGGTGATTTTAGGAATACCATCATTTCAGGGGTTTCAATTCTTGCCCGGATTTGTAATTTTTTCAATCTCTTTTCAGGACATTTTAAGTTGCTACTTTAATAATTGATGTAATGAATATGCATACACCTCACAGTAATATGATTGGCTGGTGTCAGCCATAAATACAGACTGATGTGGACACCTATAGTCTTCGTCTTTTACGTACGCCTATTGCCTACCACTACGATGAGGACCAGCACATTACGGTTACCTGCTAGATTGTCCTATCCGGTTACAGTAGTCAACAACCACTTTGCTACTTCGAACAAATATATCCTTTTCCGGGACATATCAATAATGTATGCGTTTTTCAACCTAAGCTTCTATAGTTCTTTTCCATTTTTCGTAAAAATCTATTTTCCTGCTTTTCACTCAGTGATCTTCTGAAACAATGATATCTGCTATCACATAAGATTTTTTTTTCTCGTCTATAAGAACGAAATCAGATTCCCCAGTCTCGATAGAAAGTGTGTTTGAATTTTAAACTTTTTTTTAATCATTTTACCCGAAGCCAGGCGATGAAGCCACTAGGGTGCATACAGTTGCTGAGAGTGAAAGAAGATTATAAGACTTTGGTGAAGAGAAAAAACAATATCAGAACAGGATTTATGAACACAAAAGATCTCGAATGGTGCTGCATTTAAATGTTTGAAGATTGTAGTTATCAGGGAAGCAAAAAATCGGAAAGGCGTTCTACTGGTGAAAATTGAGAGAAAAGAAAATATTAGAATAATTTCGACAGAAATTGAATTTTCATATTTGAATTTATCCATAAACTGTTGGATTTGTATTTTCAAATAAAGGTTATTTACATAATTGCATAATTCCAAATAAATTAATCCTACCCAATCAAGTCTCCTAATGTATTTCTTTTGATATAATTTATTGTATTCACTTATCCTCTGATTGACAATAGAACTTCCATATCCCCATTGACTACGTCTATGTTTTGTTCTTGGATGATTTTCCTAAGCTGCTTAAAATATTCAGATTCACTCTTCACATGTCCTCTGCGTAACCATGTCTACGTCATTTCATAGACAATTCCTTTTCGCTCTTGTATTGTTTATAGAGTTGATTTTCTTTCATCGTTAACTTCTTATATAATATATTTGTTTCTGTTATTTATGCTATAGATTTTGGTTACCGTAAGTATTCTTTTATTTCTTTGATATAAATGACAATAGGAAAACTGTAGTAGTTGCCGGCGCGTTTCGTCCAATGTGGACTTTTTCAAGGCAAAAAACGAAATGAATTTATTTAAACAAAGTAACTAATAATAACAAAAACAAAATGTTCTTAGCAACTGGAAGAATTTAGAGAACGCTATTTTCATACTGTTAACTGAAAATTACGTCAATTACTGTCACGTGTGGAGATATTGTTATTATTGCTGTGTTGATGGATTTAACCATTTCCTTTTGATTTCTTGATACTGTTGTTTACGTTTGTTTGGGAGAGTGGTAATTCTGTTAATAAAGGTGAAATAGGGAAAAGGCCTGGACGTAGATTCATATTTGGGTAATATTCGATGGCGGCAGTCTCGAGGATTTTCCTTCTGAGTGAGTTATTTTCTTTTTTTATGAGTGTAGCATTTTTAAAATCAAAATTATGGTTGAATTTATTTCTATGTATGAATAGTGCATTAGCTAAGTTGTTTTTTGTGAGGTTTCTCCAATATATTGGGAGGAACAGTTTTCCCTATTTCCCTAAATTCTTCCAGTTGCTAAGAACATTTTGTTTTTGCTATTATTAGTTACTTTGTTTAAATAAATTGATTTCGTTTTTTGCCTTGAGAATGTCCACATTGGACGAAACGCGTCAGAAATAACTACAGTTTTCCTATTGTCAATTATATTTATAAATATTGTCTTTTTCTACAGGTAAACTCTGAGAAATTTTTCATTCTTTTATTTTTTTTAAATATAAAGAGAATTGATAGCCGAATTGACACAATTCTCGGTGCTGGAAGCTCTTCTTCCCATTCACCCCACTCTAAGTTTCACCCTAAGCAAAGCGATAATACCACTAGGACGCAAACGGTTACTAGGAGGGAAAGAGAATGAGAAGACCTTAGTGAAGAGGAAGGACAATAAAAGAACAGGTTTCAGGGGAATAAAAGTTAGCGATAAGCGTTTCATTTTTCAATTTTTAAAAATTGTATGTGGGGGTTCGATAGACGAGAAAAGAAACTATTAAAATAGAACCTGTAGTTGTATCTTGTTAGTTCAACAGTAAAACTATGATAATTAGTTGAAATTCTAGTATTACGCTTAAATTTATGCTTTCGAGGCACCAAGGAAGAAAAATCATCAGAACAATTGCCAACAAAATCTTTATAGAAAAGTCATATTACGGAAGCTGGAAAGTGACTGAAATCGAGATGCCAAGTAAGGATCGGTTACATTGTAGATCTTTCTCTGGTTTTTTTATAAGTATCTCGAAATATATAGCAGAAGCAGATATGACAGCAACATGGTAGACTTATCAATGTGCAAGATGGATTCTGACGAAAAATATTGTCTGGCATGACACAGTGGACCCACTTTCCTAGCAATAGACCTAGCATTTGATTCAATATAATCACTTCATGTCAGTGAAAGACGTGCGGCGACGACGACACAAGAGTCGCTGCACTGTCTACCCGCACCTCACTGTTATTAATATCATCATTAGTTTATGTATCATCAATTACATCATTTGATCCAAATTTCTAACTTTTTCTCTTACAGTTTACAAAGAGTCTGAATATTTCACTGTTTTTGCTAAATTTATTAAACCCGATATCTATGCTGATGACATAACCATTTTCTCCTGTCTAAATAGTAAGTCTGATCATTTTATAAAGTCAAATTGGCAGCTGATCTCAAAATGATCAACATTCTGTTGTTAAATGGGACAAGAAAAGGCTTGTTAAATTTAACGCCTCCAAAACGAAACTGTTCTGTTTTAATAGCCTGAAAGAAACCTTTTTACTTACCACCAGCATGCCTAACACTAACTCCATGGAGAGTGACTCATTACACTTTCTTCGACAAATATTTTATGCTTATATGAAGTGGAAGGATTCTATTGAATCAATTGCTGGATTTGTCGTACTAGACAATTTTTCTCGCCAGAATTTATCTTACACATTTATAAGTCTATTACT